AAAGTAAGCCATGACCTCCACTATAGCAAAATGGAGCTTAAAGCCTTAAACCCATGGTGTTAATATCCAGTCCGAAAGGTACTGAATTAAGTAGAACTCCCATATGCGGGAAAGTTTTGGTTGTTTGAAAACCTCATACAGAATAAAATATATCTACCTAAATAGGTACTGCACACATGCATAAAACATACGTACCTAGAAATGCCACATGAGAAGGAAACAAAAAAATTAAAAAATATGACACTCAAACCAATAACGTAATTCTGAGAAATATAAAAAAGTACACATAATAAACCACCTAGAAAAAACATAATGATCAATCGCATAAATTAAAGCTTCACTAGCTATTAACATAAAATAAATCAATAAAGTAAAAAATAATAATAGTAAACGAGGGTAATACAAAATTAAAACCAGATTAATTAATTAATTAAGAATAAATATATCCTAATGAAATTGGGGAAGATATTAGTTGCAATCAAAAATTCGACTATGTTTGTGGACAAGGGCGGACCCAGAATTATGGTTGAGAGGGGGTTAGACAGAATTACGTAACAAATAATTTCAAATTAGACCATAAAGATAATATTCAAAATGCCGTACTTTTTTTACAATTGTTCCATACAGTTTCTCATAATTTGAAAATGTCGTATAATAGTCTCGTTATCAATTTCATTAAATACATCTTTTTCGACATACACAACTAAGCTATCATTCATCAATTGGTCTGCAATCTGATTATATGTTGTTAATGAAACTGACTTCAAAGAATGGAAGCTTGTAATTTAGAAAATAGTAAAATTTCTAAAAGCTGACAGAGCTTTTATGAATACTAGTTTTATGCCCGTGCAATGCATGGGCTGTGTTATTTCTAAAGTAATGTTAGTGTATCTAATGTTAAAAATTGATAGGAGCTGCATTGACAACATAATTTAAGAGTTTAACCTATAACATAAGATTTTTGAAGTTAGGTCTTTGAATGCAAATAAGTTTTTTTTAGATTAGGAAACTAACAGCAATTCCTTTCAAGTTGAACTTATTCTCTTTCAACAATAGTAATAGAATATGGAAAATATGAAAGATATGTAAAATAACTAATAATTAGAAGCAAAAGTTCTAGTTGATCAAATTGACCCCCGAGCAAGAACGCACAATATCACCAAATGTCTAAAACAGACGAATTGCTTTCAGTTATATTAGCAATTACCAACACATCAAGCCATATGATGCAGTAGTGCAAACTAAAATTAAAATTAAATCTCTCATACAAATGTAGAGGTAAAATGTTGGAAACAAAAAACAAAAGCGCTAGTAGAAACATAAAAAATCTTATTTCAACAAAAAGTAACTACTAACCTACTCACAAGGAAATGGTGTATCTGTCATTAAAGTACAAAGGGCAAAAATAGAGCAGAAGATGACACATATCAATCAAAATGAAACTAATCATTCTCATGGGTGTTAATAGAAATTGAAGTATGGGCATGGAATTGTTGATTATATGTTGAGATTTGTTGGAAATTTTATGATTTAACATATGGGTAATGAAAGATAGTAGAAAGTTTGGTCATTCTATATTGTTTTACTTATTGCAACCAGTGTGTTTGATGAAATCCTCAATCAATCTTATACACCCCATCCCTTTAGTTGCTTGGAAATAATACCACAATTAGTTTGTAGATAATTTTTTCCTCCACAAACACCCACATTATGAGGAAGAATCATGTTGAATATTTATTGCATATTACATTGCATTACACCTTAGTTTGACACACACGTTTCCTTTTTCTGCTAAATTACTATAGAAATCGTGTCTAATGTAGTTTTATTTTGCAGGATAACTAGTCCTTTGAAAACCTACAAGCAGGGACGGACCCAGCCCGCCATCCCAGCCCGGGTGGACGTTGACTGATCAACGCCGTCCGGTCAACGTCGACAATCAAGTCTACATTGCACAGTACCAGCTTCCTGTCCATGGTCATGCATTCTGGCTAGCCCAAAATCGCCTAATATTGCATTCATTTCTTTATCAAGCAACACATTGCTAGCCTTAATGTCCATGTGCAAAACTTTTACCTCCCATCCAATGTGCAAATACAAGACACCTGAAGCCACTTGCTTTATAATTCTTATTCTTTCTTCAAAACTCAAAATTTTGCTGTCATCACATTCAAAAATCCTTTTGTCCAAACTCCCATTTTCCATATAATCATAAAGCAATATTAGGCTGCCCTTTTCTTTCTTAGACCACCCCCTCAAACCCACCAAATTTCTATGCTTTAANACCCACCAAATTTCTATGCTTTAATCTTCCCAAACTTGAAATTTCAGCCAAGAATTCTCTCAACATGACAAGATAAGGCCAATCCAACTTACAAACCCACACAGTTCAGATGCAAAAGACTCAATTCAGCTTTCTTAGGTGACCACCATCAATCGAGATCAAAGCAGAACGTTCATAATACTGACCAGCAATTGTGTTTAAATTCACACAACTTAATCACTCGCATAAAAATGGTTCATAATAGAGTGACACTGACTCAACAGACAAAGTTGGGGCTCTAGAAACAAGTCCCTCTAAAGGTAGTCTCTGCTAATTAATATGCTCAGAATTAAAGATTTTAGCCCATAAGATCTCTCATAATTAAGAAACATAATCAATCAATTTCAGGAAAGATTTATCCATATCTGAATTTGAATAAAAGAATCATACACTATTCAGGTTCACAATTCAGTTATCCACATATTAGCATCCTCATTTTTAAAATGAAAATAGCCCAATAAAGTTGTAAATAGGAGAGCATCACAATTTAGTATTTCAATTCAACTTCAAAATCGAGAGCTTCACAAATCACAATCCAGTTCTTGAAAACACAGTATGTAGTCCTTTACAACGCTTTCCAGTTTCCAGTCCTTTACAACTCACAATTCACAGAATCACAAACACCAAATTAGACAAACTCACAATTCATAAACACCACATTTATGCATTTCATTTTACAATTTCAATTTGCAGTTAAAATATTATAATTCATGATAAACCATAAACAATCAGTAAACCAGTATTACAGTATATACTATCATTGTATCACAGTTCACAGAGACACAGTCACACAGCCCACTAGCCACGGGCTGCCACCAGACACAATAATTCATTAAAAAAAAAATTGACAGCCTACAAAAGTCAAGACAACAGAACAGCAGAACTTACAGTTTCGTCCCTCGAAGTCGCTGCTGCGCGCCTGAGAATTTGCTGCTTTGCGAGGTGCGACGGTGTCACGAACTCACGGTGACGTTGGGCTCTGAATCAGCTGACTGGTGGTGAGTGGTCGGTCGGAGAGGGAGAGCTAAGAGATTGGGGAATTTGGGAATTTAGCAAAAATAGGTATTGTCGAATTTGATTTCAAAAATCCTTTTGATTTTGTATTTTTTGGATGGTTAATGCTACATGTACACACACTTTTACACAATCTTTTACACATCTCTCACATGGAAGGGGGCACACACATAATAAAATAATCGTGGCACCCCCTCCATGTGANGGTGTAAAAAATACACCTTATTTATGAATTTTTCCCTATTAAGGATTGGGCCAAGCAAAATGGCCCAATCAAAACCAATTAAAAAAAGAAAGATAAATGGGCCGCTTTTGCCCAATTTCAAAACAAACAAATATATCGGTTGAATTCTTCAGATCCAATGTCAAAACAATTTTAAAAAAAAAAAGGAATTGGGCAGGCCTTACTCCTTAGCCCAATTTGAAAACAGGAAAAAAAAGAAAAGCTATCATTTGTTTTGCTTGTTGCTTATTATTATTAAAAGTGAAAGCAGTAATAAAGATCTTAGTATTTAATTTATGGTTCAATGGTCTAAGCTAGCTCTTTTATATAGTGAAGAATCAATTCACCAAAAAAGGACTTGTTTCAGTATTCCTTGAGTTTTTATAATTTCTTAAAATCAAATAGAAAGAAACATAGACTAAACAAAAGCAGAGGCCAATAAAAATTTGATCTGATCATCTCACTCTCCAATCCTACAAGAAATGGAAAAACTTGTCAAAGAACTGCCATCCCTTGAAACTGCGAATGAAGATTATTCACACAATCATGAATGCAACACTAAACTATTGAAAAACAATAAATTGAAGCAAGTTTGGATCTCGTCATAAAAAGAAGTTTTCAAAATCAAGTATGGTAAAATCATATTCAACCATCATCTCCTTAATAATGCAATAGACAAAATTTCAGTCTTATCAAACATAAAATTATAAAATGAACTCTTGAAGTTTACAAAGTAGAAATTCAATCCCGAAGCAGAAATTAGAACCATTATCAACACAAACAGAAAAAATAATTATATAATAAATGAATAAACAGTGAATATAATCTGGAACCCAAAATTCCATTATCGAACAAAATATTCAAATGTTGAAAGAAGAAAGTGGCAAAGAAATCTGTGTATAATATACAAATCCACTTAACAAAAAAATGAAAGAAAAGAAAGAAAACTCAGTTACCCAGGCGTAAGAGAACGTAGCTTCAAGAACGATGCAGTGTCGATTTTCGAGTTCGCACTTCGCAGGGTATGAGAATCGCTTCGCAGGGCTTGAGAAGGTAGGGAAGGGGGAAGTCTGGCAAGGGAAGTACAATGTTAAATGATTTTGTTGGGCTTGGGTTGGGCTATTATTAATCTACGATTCTATGGGCTTTTTCATTGTTAAAAATTTAAGAGTCCAGTAGACCTTAATGGGCCCGCCCCCATTTGTGGAGACAAACTAATGCTTACATGAAAATTAAGTCCGCGATGGGGAATTTTTTTTTTTTTCAACAACTCATCAGAAAACAATAGAAATTGGGAATATTACATATTCAAGAGAATAAGTTCGGCCTATTTCAAAAATAAGAAAATAAGTATGAAATTTCCAAAATCAGATATCCATCTAAAAATATATATATACTAATTTATTTGAAAAAAATAAGGACAGAATCACACAAAATCAGTGTCACTTACCAAAAACAGCCGGAACTCTCCATACATTACAATTCGTCCATCCAGCTGAGAGTAAAGCCACAAAGATCTGAAATTGCCTTCATATTGTCCTCGGAGCTCTCTCAGCTGACAGTAATCGTACATTTCAGGTCGCGATTTGCAGACACAGTCACAGTACACCGCAATAATCTACGATTCGTCATTTGAAATTGAATTCAGAACGATCAGGTATGTATTTATGATCAATTAAATCTAATTAGACGTTTCTTCCTACTTCCTAGGCATGAACTATGTCCATACATTATGCGACACATGCGTAAGGATGTGTATCCGTATATTACATGACACATACAAAATAAGGTTGTATGAAATTTGACTTTGTAATCGTAATATGAACTGTGACACATGCATTAGGATTTGTGACCAATAACATGTGGTCTGTGACCATTGAATACTATTGTGTGAACATATTTTATACATGTAACCATGTTTGTTTCTTCTGCATATATGATTCTTATGTGAAACACATTTGTGACCCACTGTACGTGTGACCTGTGACATATGCATGACCTATGACCTACTATATGTGTGACCTGTGACTTAATACACATGTAACCAGTGACTTCTATAGAATGGCATGTGACATACTGCAATTGTGACCTGCGTGTAATCAACATGTGACCTCTGCATATATGACTCTTATGTGAAACACATTTGTAACCCACTGTACGTGTGACCTGTGACTTATGCATGACTTGTGACCTA